TCTCCTTCCTCTTCCTTCCTTCCTTCCGGCTTTTTTTTTTTTTTTTTTTTTTTCCTTCCGTCTTGTTTCGAAAGGTGACTCTTTTTTTTCCTTCCGTCTTTTGTCAAAAGGGTGACTGCCTTTAAAAAAATATAATCCTAGAATTGACCGGCCCTAGGTAATTCAAAGCTGCAGTGCTTTACGGATCTGCTTCCACCAGAGTTCGAACTCAGTGGGTCTGCATTTGAAGTCTCAACAGTCTAGGGGTGTACCGAGTGCGCTATACGCCAGTTGGTACGCCAGTTGGTACAGACTCTCAAATACAGCTAAGGGGTTGAAAGTTGAGACTTGAAATGCAGACCTGAGTTCGAACTCCGCTGGAAGCAGATCAGTAAAGTAATGCAATTTTTTTTTTTTTTTTTTTTTTTTTTTTGAATTACCTATGACTGATCAGTTCTACGATTAGATTTTTTGAAAGGCAGGCACCCTTTTGAAAAAAGACGGAAGGGAGGGAAAAAAAAAAAAAAGACGCTGGTACAGACTCTCAAATTTTCAAGGTTGCATAAGGGGTGCTGCAGAGTCTGTGCAGACACATCTCAACTTTTTTTTTTTTTTTTTTTTTTCCCTCATTTTTTGTCTGACATGCTTATAGGAAGGTATCGACTTTTTTTTTTTTTTTCCTGTCAGTTTCTTTTGAGAGGCTATGAATTCTTAGAGTGGTTTGACAAGAAGGGCCTTAAAACACGAGTACTTGGCCAAGCTATCGGCCGCAGAAAAAATAGAATAGGAAGTTGGAAACCTTTCTAGTTGGATGAATTCGGCCACTCCTGTACCGGCCCGTACGTTTTCCAGAAGTGTGGCTTGTTAACGGGCACAACTTAAAAGTACTGGCGGCTTAAGAATGTTGGCTCTCGTGGGACATCCGTTGACGCCACCAGTCCATCTGAGCCAAGATTTCCCTGACGCTGATCGCTGCTGCATGCCTGGGAAAAAAAGACAGGCATTAAAAAAATGTCTTTTTGCCTCATGCTGTCAACCATTCTGGCCCGGTGGGTTGAGGCCCACCGAGAAGAAGGTCGACGTGGCAGTAATGCACGAAGAGCCCGTCCAAGGTACGGACGGGGGTGCGCCCTGTAAACGAACAGAACACTAAAAACCGCCAAAAGCTTCGGCTCACGGAAGAAGTGCAATTCTCGACTCGACAGCTTTTTTTCTCAGTCTCCTCTTTTCCTTGTTTCTTTCTTGCATCGCGGCTATTCCGAGCTGTGGAGTTTGGCTCTTCTTCCGTGAGATGAAGGTGTTGGTGATTTTTCGTGTTGTGGTCGCTTACAGGGTGCGCCCCTTTACCTTGGACGGGATCTTCCTGTCCTGCATCACCACGTCGACCTCCTTCTCGACCCGGCGGGTCGGTCGAGGCCCTGCTAACGCGACGGGTTAATTGCTGTGTCTGAGAAAAATCCGTTGGAAAAGGGACTCCAGGTTTGACATTAGAAGGCCCCTTGTTGCCCCAACGGGCCCAGCTCAGTTGGTAGACCGATGGACTGTTGAAATACAGACCCCGAGTTCGAATCCACATGCTATCAGACTAACAAAATAGCCAACTTATGAATCACCTAAGGCCGGTCAGTTTTCAATGATGATATCCAAAGGCCATGGCCCTCTTTTCAAAAAAATATGTGGTCCCTTGCAAAAAGTGACTCGAGGATGACACACACAAATCTAGAAATGGGTGTCCTTCCCAACATCCGCTTAAGTTAGAACAATGCAGAGAAGATTAGCATGGCCCTTAGTACGCTGACAATTGAAAAAGAAAAAAAGCTTGTTAAGGAGACTGCAGGAATAGAGCAGCAGGGATCAGCCTAGACAGCTTAAAGAAGTTAAACCTATAAAATTGTTCAGTGGTGAAATTCTTCATAAGCGAAATTGGCTAATGCTGCCTTAAGGATAACTTTGGGTGGAATTGTGAGGTCCCTGTCCTCAGCTCATCTGTTTGATAATGCAGTGAAATGTGTCCTTGTGTTAAAAAAAAAAGAAAAAGAAAAAAGGTAATGAAATGTGTCCTTGTTAAAATAATAATAATAATAATAATAAATAATAATAAATAATGCAATGAAATGTGTCCTTGTTTAAAAAAAAAAGGGGGGGGGGGGGGGGGGGGGGGGGAAAAAAAAAAAAAAAAAAAAAAAAAAAGGAGTAAAAAAAAAAAAAAAAAGGGGGGGGGGGGGGGGGGGGGGAGGGGAAGGAAGAAAACAAAACAAAGAAAAAGCAAGGTGAAATTTTCACTCTGCATTCCATGTGGGATGTCCAGCATTCGGTGCTCCGGATATCAGGCATCCACAAGAAAAAGCAAGGTTAAAACCACTCCAGATGCATTGAATTTGAACATCATCATTTAAAAATAATAAAATATCATCATTTCCATTTTAAAGTATATCATCATTTAAAGTATCATGATTATCATCATCATTTAAAATTAGAGTATATCATCATTTAAAGAACATCATTTAAACATTAAATATGTATTTATTTATTGTTTTCGAAATCTTCCAATTGTTTATGATTTTCCCTGTAAACTTCTGCGGAATAAACGAAAACTAGTGCGGACTCTGCAGAGGGTCAGCGAAGTTGAGTGAACAGATCATATGGACATTTATAACTTGTTGCAAAAAAGTCTGAACAAGGAAACATCGTCCTTCTCAAGCGTTGGATGTTGATGAAGAAGTCGATGGAAAAAGAAAAGAACACATTTTTCTCGAAGAAGCATCAGTGTCCCCAAGTGTAGCTTGGATGCGGTACGAAGAAGTTCACAAACGAACAAACAAACAAATAATAGGATAAAGATTCATATACCAAAGCGAACAACAGTGGTGATAAAATGAAAAATCAAAATCGAAAAAGGAAAAATGAAAACACAGAAATGTACAAAAACTGCATCAGTGTTACGGCCCGCACGTAGATTGCGAACAACTTAAACCCGACTTCAGGCCGCGTTATTTGCATACCATATCTGACTGCACGATTTCTTCCTCCTCCGGTTAGTTCCTCTCACATGCCAGGGAATACCTTCCACCTTCCCCCCCCCAAAAAAAAAGACACGCACACACACACAGACAGACAGAGAGAGAGAGAGAGAGAGAGAGAGAGAGAGAGAGAGAGA